GACTTTTGACTCCTCTCTTCCTTCCCCACTCCATAGAAAATCGGTCCTCACATTCTTTAAGTCCTATTGTCCTGCTATCTCACAAATATGACCCCTATCGCCAACCCGCATGACTGCCAGCCTTGCTCAAGACATTATCTTTTCTCTGTTCATAAACTTATTTTTTACTAGGAAATATGTAAAATAAAATGTAAATATTTTTACTATATTTTAAACACTTATCTTAACATACCCCTTTTTTTCTCTTATATTAAGCAATTCAGCTACTGCTGTACATGCTGGTTATTTCTGATAATAGCAATCAAAATTATTCAGAGGAAATTAATCAGAGTTTCTTGGTGGAGAGAGAGCTGGAAATATATGGCTAATTGGACCAGCTACAAACTAACTAGCAGACAAATGTAAGAAGTTTGGAACTTAGGAAGTTAAGTATAACTCAACAAATAATGAGGGACCCAGTTTTAGAAACACTGAATGGAATCCTTTGTTTCTTTGACTCTCCCATGAGAACATGGCCCCAAACCACCTGCAGGTTATGTAGGCAAAAGCCCATACACTGACGGGGGTGTATCTTCTCTTTAAATGGGAGACTATGTATTTTATTATGAGGTTTTCTGTTTGAATCTTATTAAGCAGAAGAAGTATTTGGTTTGTTTTGACTTATATTCTGTCTCAGGAAAGAAACCCACAGAAGGCTTCGAGGTGCCATGAACCGAAGTCTTCGTCCATGAAGGAAAGGTGCAGGAGAGGCAACGTCCCTGCGTGTGTTTGTCATCATGGGAAACTAACTTCCAGAAAGATATTTGTATTGTAGAGGAAAACATTTCTTCTCTTTATCATATATTGTCCCTCTTATAGTCCTTTTTAGAGACTTAGGGGTTCTCTTCTAAATTAAAAAAAACCCACCAGAATATTAGATTATAATGCCCTTCCTTTCCTCTGTAAAAAATTAAGCTTTGGTTCTTTAATTTAGAACTCAGTCAAAATTATCCCTGTTTTTCTTTTCACATAACTTGTATTTCTTACTGTATTACTTCTTGGATTCTGCTTAATTATAAAACACCCTTTTCTGTTTCTTTTCTACGTATCCTTTATGAGAATTTCATTTTGAAAGAAAATTTAAAAAGTTTTAAAAATTCTTCTTTCTCATGTGGGATATCTAACTGTTGTTTTAATAACAGCTTGAGCCTTAGTTGTAATCCATTAACCAAGAGTATTTACTGTTTTTTTAAATATTCCATTTGTTCCTAATTTGTTTTTTTTGTGTTTTTGGTTTGTTTGTTTTTTGGATGCCAGGCATGTGGCTCTTAATAAAAGTGCCATTTCCTGTGTTTTGTGGAAGCAGATTCTCTGACTCACAAGACTGTTGCCTCGGTAGATGGCCTGTGGTGTGACAGGCACGGTCCTGACAACTGGGCTGAGTGGCTAGAATACAGAGCACTGAGGGAGAATTTCCAGCTCATGTCATTATCAGTCAAACAGGGTAGATTTGTACTGACTCCCCTTTCCTTCATGTTTAAATTCCTTTAAGAAAATTTTATATTTGTAATCTTATTTCATCCTTGCTGGGTTTTCTGCAATTTCTTTTCTTTTTTCTGGGGGTGGGGGATTGAAACAATGAGGAATAACTGGATTTTTATACCTATATTCAACAGTAGCTGGAAAATAAGCCTGGAGGTTCATGACATGTGATAACAGATTGAAATCTGGGACACAAGTGGCAATTTCATCTCTTTCATTGAGTTTCATGATGCTGGAATTCATTCCAGTATCCAAAGGCAAAGAGGCACACAGCCCAGTGCTCTCCCAAAGCTTCCTTCCAAAAGCAGACATCTGTTGTGTGTTAACAGAAAATAAAACAGAGGCGGGAGGATTGTTTGTTCCTGGGTCTTTATTAGCGCTCCAGTTTCTCGGAGAGGAGAGTGGGAAGTGTGCATATCATCTGCTCAAATTCAAGTGTCATTGTCATGAAAATTAATATTATTTGACAACGTTTTTTTCTTCTTTTGATGTTAGACAAGCTATTGTATTCTCTGTACAAACACTTCAGCCTGTTACTTGGGTTAATGCAACTTGAAGTCAGTCTTAACAAGGACCCATATCCAAACCCTTGGGAGACACTGGTTACAAATTAAACACCCTTAACTTTTTGTCACACCTCTCGAAGCAAATGTTCTCCTCTATGGGAAGAGATGCTCTATAGTTGTCTTTACTTTGGGTAAAATTAACACCACTTAAGGTTCCTCATCAAGTTGTCACTCCATAAACACTTGGAATATTGCTGCCCCACGTGATCCAGTGGAACCCTGGAGAATTCGCTCAGCTACAAATTTGCCACATATCATTGCTTTGATTCTGCGGTTGCCATGGCACCCGGAACAAATTCTCAGTATTAGTCCCTCAGGGCGCAAATTAAGAGTCCCCAGCAATGGCGAATGTCAAGCGCTTCGCTTCCACCCTGAAGGAATGGAAGCTGGTTTAAGTTCTTAAAAAGAAAAGCAGCTCGTGAGCTGGAGTAGATGTTTTAATAGAATGCTGTGTATATAAATATCAGTCGTAGAAGACCGTCTGGGTTAATACATTCTAAAGCAGTGCCGATACTTTTTAGACTTATTAAGGGACCTGTGTCCATTTATCCACCCAATTCTTCAATAAGTTCACTATATAGAGATAAAGCAATGAAATATTCTAGACTGAAGTGATGCAGTTGTCTAAGATATTATAATTAAAGGCATAATTATTATGACACTGAAAAATAAGTAGAATCACATAACATAAACTATGCATTTAGCAAGTTTCTCAGAAGGCAGCGCCTTCCATGAGCAAGGAGCCTCAGTCACACGCTCCTGTTGGCCTGGCTGCTTTTCCCGGGGAAGAGCGGACTGTTTAGGATGTTTCAGCTCCAGTTACAAGTGTCTGCCCGCTCGCTTCTTGCGGGGGCTCTGCGCCCGTGAGTGTGAGCGGGGCCCAGGGGACCCGGGGAGAGGACACGGACCTGACCCTGGGCCACGGCCCCTCACTCGCTGCGTCACATCCCAGGGGACACTCCGGCCGCCGCCCAGGTGCCCTGGAGCAGGATGGCAGCCCGCCGGCCAGGAGGCCTCGCCAGGACCCCGGGCGCGCAGCATGTCACTCCGATGCCACTCCAATGCCACTCTGATGCCCGCGACGGAAATTGGTCCTGCTCTGGAAACCGATTCTCCACGGCCTCCCGTTAGGTTTCGATACAGATTCGTAACACACATCCAAATGGGATTCACGTGCTGTTATTTGCAGCATCTAACAGGCTTTTTCTAGCCTTGTTTGTTTCATTTCATTTTGTTTTATATTTCTTTTTTAAAAAAATGTTTATTGATTGATTTTAGAGAAAGAAGAAGGGAGCGACAAAGCACGATCTGTTGTCCCAGTCATGTAGGCAGCACTGGCCGCTTCTTGTTTGGGCCCTGCCCAGGGTCAAACCCGCAACCTTGGCGCCGCAGGACAGCGCTCTAACCAGCTAGGCCATCCGGCAGGGCGTCGTTTCCCTTATTTTTCCAATGATAGAAGTTAGTATTTTCCAGGAATTGCTGCTCCTTTTTAGCTGAGGTCATCGTCTCCATATTACCAGGGCATAAAAGTGTAGCCGGGAACTTGTCATATTGCCAGCTTGGTCAGATGATAGATATGGGTTCAATATATATTTTTTTTAATCATAAATTTTTGGGAATCCACTCAGATTTTAACCAGACTGCCTGGGCTCTTCCCAGAGTAGCAATAGGAACAGAGCAATTATTTTGTACTCACAGTAAATATTGAACTGGATTTATCTGACATAAAAAATGTTTTAGGATACTACTGATACAGAACTTTAAAAAGTATGCCCTATTTTCTTGGCAAAATTTTTTAACAAAAGTGGAAGGACATCTGTTGCTTCAGCCTATCCAACATCCACTTATTAAAAACAACAACAACAATAAAATGCAAACACTATTCCAAGCACGTGACATCCATACATGAATAAAATGTAGATCGCTTAAGCATGGGACTTGCATTCCAGTGCAGAAAGACTAAGACAGTTCATGTAGAAATCATGTAACTGTTAGAAAATTAATCATTTAGATATCTGGTGAGAGCTAGAGACAGAAATCAAACGGCTACTAAAATTTAGTGTGATGATTGGGAAAGGTAAGCAGCAGGTCTACTGGAGGACCTAAGGGAAGCTTCATCTTCAGGCCCGGGCGCCTGTGTTGACCTCTCCTCACAGTGCGTTACAAGGACCAGCAGCAGCAGCTGGGAACCTGGCGAAACGCAAAAGTCCCGAGCCCTGCCTGAGACCAACTGAAGCATTATTTACACCCTGAGCACTTTTTAGTGCACTTAAACCATGCTCAAAATTAGATTAAAAGTATATTTATTTCTTATTGTAAATTTTATAAAATCTGGGCACAGATTTAGAAAATATCAACATCTAGAAGGCGCCACCAGTATTTTTAAAAATAATTGTACATAAGAAATGTTATGCACTACTCACAATGTTGTAAGGATTTTTTTCTTAAATTACAAAGTTGTATTATGAAAGCTAAATAAACATTTTAATATCTGCAGATTCGTCTGTCAGCATAATGGACTATAATTAAATAATACTTTTAGTAACCATTCCGGTCAATTCGACTTTTTCATGATCATACTAAAAAAAAATGTATAGGAAGTGATTATATGTGTTCCTGATATAATGTTTCAGATATTTCACTACATAATGAGTAAAGAAAACATGAATGTTAAGACTTCTGGTATACATCTCCAAGATATCCTATGGTACCGGCAGATGTTCATTCTATTATTGAATATATGCATTAATTCTATTATTGAAAAATAGAAAAATAAATGCATATTCTCACATACTCATGCAAACACACAAAAAAATTTATGCATGATAAGAATTGCCATGCAAAAATATAGAGCTTGTTTTAAAAGGATTTTATCAATCATTTTGAGTCAAGCATTTTCTACTTTGCTTTCAGCTTGATGATGTCCTGAATCAGATCCGTAAGCTCCAGAGATCTCTAGATGAACAGAAAGAAGCCAATGAGAACTTGGAGGCTGAACTCAGGCACTTACAGAACCGGTAATTATTTCACCAAAATGTTTTCAACTCAAGATTGGGACCTTAGAAAACAAACTCTTGATATCTTTCTTTGAAAAGAAAATCTTGGTATCTTTTTTTTTTCATATTTTTCTTAAATATCAGTAACATTATCTTCATTAACTAGAAATATTAATGAAAAAAGCTTACATTCCATACTTGAATCAATGGGCGTCTAGCACTTATTCTATTTTTCCTAATAGATGTTGGATGTTATGATAAAGACAATTTGAATATTCAAAAACAACGTCAGCTCTAAAAGGTGTAGGATTTCTGAAAGGTAGAAGGAGCTTCCAGAATATATTTCACAAGAAGCAGAAATAATGTTAATATCTACAAGAAAAAAATAAGTTGTAAACCATGCAATTTGGTAGGTAGTTGATAAAACAAGCAGTGTATTAAGTAAAAGTAATGGTTTAAGTAAATGACAGACTCGTGCACATGTGTTTTTATGTACGTGGCGGGGGTGACATGTTGTGGGGAAACGTCTTCACCCTGGAGAGGTAGCAATGACCGTGGTATGATTCTCGACACAAAGCAAACCTGGGCAGCGGTGGCTAACAGTATGCTCTGTATTATAAGGAGGCTGAAAGGACAAGGTAATTTATACAGATATTCTCAGAGAAGTGAGTGATTGCCTGTGATTGAAGCTTAGGAAAATCAACAAGCACCTCTAGGAAACTAATGGGGCTTTTGACGTTTATCTGGGTGGACATTTTGCAGTAAAACCACAGGAGAGCCTACAGCATCGGACAGTAGAAGCAGGTATAAATCAGGCTGAAATAAAGCTGTGGTTTCACTCTAGAGTTGCATGAACAAAGCCAAGTGTAAAATTGTACTTAGTGGGATATGTCCTTAAGACCTTTTGATACAGTGCAGAATACTAATACTGCTTCATATTTAAGTTTAGTTTTCCAGATAAAGAAATTTACTTTAAAAAGACACTATATAAACTTACATAGCTATTTCCAAATGAAGCCAACTTGTAAAATTTAGTTCAGTTATAAATATGCCTGATCTTCCTCAACACTGCCCCATTAATTAATGGGAAAACTGAAAACTTACTAACTGATTTGTGAATAAAGCTTACTTTTATATGAGAAATTAGCATCTCTCTCTCTAGAAGGGTCATCATTCCCTGAGCCTCTCTTACTGGCTCTGTTTCTTTCTCTAACTTGAAGGCCGGCCTGACCAACAGGAACCGGAGGCCTAGGGGAGAGGGGTCAGTGCTGGCCTCCCACTGGCCCCTCGGTGTGCACTGCTGAGCGTGTTTGCAACTCTCTGTGGCAATGCCTAGTCTATGTTCTGATGATGAAACGTGAATTTGCTTACTATTGCTGGACACAACTGAGAACTGAGTGCAGCTTTGAGAAGCTAAATGCAGCTCCCCCTGCCTGACTGTGTTTCTCTGCTTTTCTGTGGCTATGCCGCATGTTGGTGGGGGGCCACAAAAGACACCTTTCTCCCAAGATCCCAGATACAGGTGAAGAGTCCCCCTGTATCCACCCTCAACACGTGACTTGCCTTCTGTAGCAATTCCTTGCACACAACCCATCTCCAGACCAAAGCACATTAAGGGGAACCACAAAAGACCCTGAACAGTCAAAGCGATTGAGAAAAAAAGAGCAGGGTTGGAAGTATCACTACCTGATATCAAACTATACTATAAGGCTACAGTAATCAAAACAGCATGGCACTGTCATAAAAACAGACAAGTCAATGGATCAGAATAGAGAGCCCACAGATAAACTCTCATCTATATGGTCAATTAACCTATGACAAAGGAGGCAAGAATACACAATTGGGTAAAGACAGTCTCTTCACTAAATGGTGTTGGGATAACCGGACAGATACATGGCAAAAAAATGAAACCACCACTTTCTTAATCATATAAAAGTATAAACTCAAAATTGATTAAAGACTAAAATGAAAAACCTGAAACCATAAAACTCCTAGAACACACAGGCAGTCAACTCTTTGACGTCCCTTTCGGCAGTACTCTTTGGATCTGTCTCCATAAGCAAGGGAAACAAAAGGAAAAATAAATGGGACTACGTCACTCAAATGTTTGCGCGCAGTGAAGGAAACCAACGAAAGGAAAAGACGAACTGCTGACTGGAAGAAGATATTCGCAGTGATACGTCGGACACGGCGCTCATATTCAAAATACTTAAGGAACTTATACAGCTTAACACCGACAAAAACCAAACACTCTGATTGAAAATTGGGCAGAGGACCTGAACAGACATTTCTTCAAAGTGGACACACCCGTGCCCGATGGACACATGAAAAGATGCTCAACATCACCAGTCATCAGGGACCTTAAGCATAGTTTATATTGAACAACCTAAAAAAAGATATTACAATAGGGAAATTTAATATTTTATTGCAGAGTGCCTCAGATTTATGGAAAATGTGAAGCAATATATACAGAAAGTAGTTTGCCTTTGGTTCTTCCCATGTTTTTAATAATGCCTGTCTCATGACATGACCCCGACAGAGGTTAATAAAAGTATATGGGAGAAAATCTGTTAGCTGATTTTAAATCAGGCGGTTGAGATATTGTGCACATTTCATACCAAAATGCAAAGGTCTTCGGTGTCCTGGCCTGGCCCTAGCTTATTTCTGGGAACAAAGATGGGATTGGCATGGGGAAGGGGACAACCTCCCAGGCATTCTTGCCTTGGTGGGTGCATCGCTCCCCACACTGTGGATCAACTTTCTGTTCATCACACCAGATGCAGTGCAAAGCTCGGGAATGATTATTTGCTAACATGATCCATTTCTAAATCATTGCCTATCTTTATTTACTTCTATAATTTTCACTGCTCATTTTTTTCTTCTTTTACTCAGTAAATTAATTCCAAATGAACAATCACGTGATAAACCAACTGGAAGTGAATTCCTATTTAGGCACAGCTCCGTCATCTTGGAATTTCCATTTTCCAATATTCCTAGATTCCTTGTCTTTATCTTTTGTGCTTAATTACCTGTTTTTAATAGACTATTACTCATAATTTAATAAAAAATAACATTATTCATGGTAAAAATTCTAGTCTTTTAATTTGAACTCAAGCTTTTTCTTGTTTTATTTAAGAATCATCTTTATGTTTTATAGCTGCCATGCTTTTTTGGACCTCTTTGAAGATATTAGGTAAATATCTACTTTTATTCTGTTGTGGGTTTTCTTCTTCTTTCTTCCCAGTTCCAGTTTTCTTGTTTGCTGGCTTCGACCTTTACTATTCTGGCCCTTCTGGCTTCACCCAGGATCGGCCAACGTCCTGGGGGATCTCAGCGTTCTGAGGCTGCCATCTCAGGTTCATTCCTAGGCCACGATTTCTAGTGGGATTGTGGGAAACTCTCTTCTTGTTTGCCGAAGCTTTGGCTCCCAAACAGCCTGGGAACTCATCGGTGTTGTGGGCAAGCTGGCTTCAGGTCCTGAGTTGGTCCTTCAGTTCCCTGTGGGCCCTGGAGCTCATTTCCCCCCCGGCCCCACCCCAACAGCGGCCTGCGCCTGGGTCGGGCCATCACAGAACTGGCATCGTCTGCAGGAAAATCGCAGGAGATGACTGGCGGTCATCAGCTCACTTCCAAACGGTTCTCTCATCTCTGCAGTTTTAGTCCTGCTAGTGCTGTTGCACCTACACATTTCAAAAATATATGATTTCGCAGCTCGGCCATTTGTGTTCCAGTTGTTTGCAGTCGCCTTGGCCTGGAGTGATCTATCTTCTCTTATTTTGAAGCAGAGGTCCCATCAATTGAATTTAAAATTATATGATGCCACTTTTTTTAGTTATAAAATGTAGTTTTCACATTCTGATGTCATCCTCATGGGATTATTCTGTCTACTGATCCAAGTAGGACTGTGGGCCATCATTTTGGATATGATTCTTTGGTCCCCTCAGTAGCTACTCATTTGAAGATATCAGAGTCCCTGGGCTGTAGAAAACCAGATGGTTATGTAACACTTGACCGTTTCTGCTGTAACACTGTGTTAAGTTGGAGACACTAGAAATTTCTTTTTTTTTTTTAATATATCTTTATTGATTTCAGAGAGAGGAAGGAAGAGGGAAAGAGAGAGAAATGTCAATGACGAGAGAGTCATTGATCGGCTGCCTCCTGCCCCCATCCCCGACCGGGCATGTGCCCTGACCAGGAATCGAACCGTGACCTCCTGGATCCTGGGTCGATGCCCAACTGCTGAGCCACGTCCACTGGGCAACACTGGAGATTTCTTACGCTGGTGAGTGGCAGGGAGAAAACTCGCTGCTCTCACCCCGTCTACTCAAGTTCTGTCTCTCTCCCATCCATGGAGACTCTGACACAGGCAGACAACCAGCGCCATGCCCTTAAATTCACCAGATCCTCAGGGTCATAGGGCCTGTGTGGACTAAACGCCACAGCGAGGCACACAGTTTCCACTAAGGCATCCACAGGTGGCTGAGCTAGGGCCTGCTACAGGGAACCAGCGTCCCCTCCACCTGCTTGGGAGCTTTAGACGGACTTAGTTTCTCCTAAGGGCCATTTCAGTTATTTTTAAAATGTTGAATTGCTTAATTATCTCTGTAATTCAGCTTAGGAACACAGTTACACCTTAAATATCTCCAGATGAAGAACTGTTCACCTTTGTGCTTGCATTTATCCCTCCTGGCCTCCAGAAGCACACAAGTAAAAATATATAAGCTGGAGGTAAAAATGCATAGTTTTAAGTAAATTTTATTTTACCCCAATTTTGTGGATGATTGTTAATGCTTTAGGTTTAAAGCAATGATTAGTCATTTTCGATGTTCGTAAGTGGTCAGCCCATACCACAGTTTCCATAGTCTTGAATCCCTAAGTTGATGTCACTGTTCAGGTGACTGAAGTCCATTTGTAGGTGCATGTGTGTAGGGGACAGCTCCTCAATACTTTCTTATCCTTTCCTCCCAGCTTAATATTCAGAATTTCACAATATCATGTTAAACTTCTAATAAGGGTCATAATCCC